GTTTTCTTGGTATTATTGGTGGTTTTGTATGAGATCATCACTTTCTTTTGCTCTCAGTAAAGAAAAGAGATATGAAGAGAAAAGCTTTGATGGGCTGACAAAGTTTATCTAACTTGTGTACAGGTTGGTGCGACAAGTCGCAGTTGGGCACGTTTATTGTAGCCGGGTGATGTTAGGCTCGCAATCGTGAGACTCCCTGTTTTTTGGTTATGAATAATATTTGTATTGTTCGAGAGAGCTTAGCTCTTACCTGAAATATAGTCCCAATAAATTGAGCACTGGCAAGACTGTCAAAGACTTAAAAAAATAAAAATAAAAAAAAATAAACTAATAAAATTACAAGAAAAAATAAAAAACCAAATCTAAAGGTTTAGCAAAGTTACAAAAAAATATCCAAAAAATAAAAAAATAAATAAAGAGACAAAAATAAAAAAAAAGAACAGAAAAAAGAAACAATTGTTTGAGAAAGTAGTTGGTGAATTTATTAAAAATAATACAAAACTATTTTGGTATACAGTAGTACTTAAACTATTTTAATATTTTTATAGTTTTTGATAAGATATTCTCAAACTAGTGTAACAAGCTGTATCTATTAGCTGAATAAGGTCAAACTTTTATAAATTAGATATGTAATTTAAATAGCAAATTTTATATATATCTAATAAATAGTACTGGCAAGATCAGTTTAAGCTAAAAAAAATTAAAATAAAATCTTTAACATATTAAAATAAATTATTTATCAACTAAAATATTAATTTCTACATATTTAATTACAATAAATTCTTTTTATTAAAATAATTTTTGTTTTATAAAAATAAATGAAAATTTACATATTTATTTATTTTTTACTTTGGCATTATTTGTTGTACATAACATTTTTTTTTTATTTAAATATAATATTATTTTAAGCTTAATAATTCATTAAATTAATTTCCGTGTATATACTTTACAATCCTATCTTAGAAAAGTTATACTCGTATAAATATACATATTATATAGATTGCAAATTAACATACATGTATTATAAATATATCATGTATAACTAAGAATTTTCATATATAAAATACAATAGTTATAATAAATTTAAAACCCATTTTTAATAAAAACAATTTAATAAAGCTTGAAATGGAATCAAAATACTTACTAAAAAAAAATAAAATCTGGATTGGATCAATAATAGACAAACGAACAAAAAAAATAATTTGAAAAGAAAATCTTTTAAAATTTCGAAATATCTCTTCCAAAAAGTGATCTCTGTTAAAAATCAATTAGTGAAAAGCATTAAAAATATTATATAATATATAATCTCTAGCTATTTTGGATAGCATATTTCTCCCTTAAACAATAATAATTTCTTACCTTTGTCCAATCAAAAGCTAAAAGTGCCCTAGTCCTTAAACTAACTTGCTCACTAAAATATATACTTCTCCACAAATAAACAGCGCTCAAACCTCCCATCCATGTCCATCCTAATCCAAAATCTGCCACTGCCGCATTTCCTATATACGCCAATGATCCAAGATGTGCATACTCAAATGGAGCTAATTTATCATCAATGTCTGGATTGCTACTATCCGAATCCTCAGAATAGTCCATTGATGATGGAAAGATGCTTGTTTCGGTAGCTAAGATTATTCGATTCAGTTTCTTACCAAGGTACTTACCTTGTTGATTTGCCACTTGCGCTGTCTAAAAAAAAAAAAAAATTTGATGGAAAATAAATCAATAAAGTTGATAAGTGACTATTAAAATTATGATTATTAATGCAAACCGCAGGTAAAGAAGTGACTTTTTTATCGATATCTTCAAGCATGCAACGCAACTCATCAAGCTCAAGTGTACCTAAAATATAATAAAAAAATGATAGAAATTTTTCTTTGAAATCATAATCATATAATATACATATATCTCACCGCTTTTATCAGTATCATAGCGATAAAAGAGCTTATCAGCATGTGCCAAATGATTAACAGTAAGTGGATATTTTTTGGCAATTTTTTTTGCCAACGTAACAAATTCATCATAGCTTAAATGTCCATTTTTATCAGCATCACAATCAGTAAAGAATTTCATCAACCCTCGAACCAAATTTGGATTTTCGATTGTTGCACAGTCACCAATTGCGTACACAGAAGAATCTTGAATACCCTTAAGACGTAATCTATTATCTGTTACGAGCGCACGTTTGTTTTGTTGTTCCGGTAACTTATCTGATATAATCTTGGTCAAAGGATTCATAGCTAATAAATTTTATAATAATGTTTATAATAGGTTAAATATAGGTTGCTAGATTGTAAAAGAATTGATGACTTTAACCCACCAATTCCGGTAGACCATAAACATAAACCATATTCAAGTTTTTTCGTTTCTTGTTTTTCACTCTTCATTTTATAAACGATATGATCTGATTCTACTTTTTGTACACGAGCATTAGTAATAACATTAATGTGATCTCGTTTAAATTTTTTCTAATAAAATAACAATATACAACTATTAATTATAATCTCCTAATAAAGTTTAATAATTAAATATGAGAAATACTTACCTCAGCAAAATCACTAATCTTTGCATCATAAGTATTCAATATATGATCAGAACTCTGAATTATGTTAACTTGTACTTCATTCCTAAGAACAGTAGGAAACTACCATAAAAAATGACAGAATTAATTTATAATCCAATTACAGTTGAATAATGCTAATAAACTCACATATTTCACAACATCCTCTGTTAAAAAATCATACAACTCAGCGGCGAATTCAACACCTGATATTAGATACAATTAGTCATTAATCGAGATGATACGTAATAACTTTAATGATTAATCATTAAAAGAAAGAACTTCACCAGTTGGCCCTGAAATAAACATAATATATTATTATTTAACGTAGAAATCATAGAAATTTCTTGACTAAAATCAAATCAATTTAGGATATATATACATACCACCACCACAGACAACAAAACTTAAAAGTCGCTTTCTTTCTTCTGGTGAAGTCGTTGGTAAAGTAGCATTTTCAAAATTGTCCATGATTTTACTTCGTATTTTACGTGCATCATTTATACTTTTTAAGGTGTGACAATATTCAAGTCCTTCTATTCCATGAGTAATTGACTCAGAACCCACAGCTACTACAAGCTAGATAAAGAAAAATAATATTTGATTAAGTAATGAAAAAAAATAAAAGTAGAGAATATAAAAAAAAATTTTTTTTTCTTTTTTAACCGTCATAAGACGAATATTATAAAAATTTTAATAATTACTTTATCATATGGAACATAAAAAGAAGCATTAGGATCATTCCCAGGTGTTATCTCTACTAATTTTTCATCAAAAATAACATCTGTAGCTTTAGCTTCTATGTAATGAGCGTCAACTCCTTTAATAATACTCCTAATAGGTTCTAACAAAGATCTAATAATACATTTATTTTATTGTCATTATAAGATCGATAAAATTAAACAAATTTTTATAAATACCTAGGCTCTAATGTGCCAACGGTCGCCGATGGGAGCAGAGGTCTGAATAAATTAATTTAAATTATTTTAATAAGTATCATTCTAAGTTATTAGATTTAAAAAAGAATATATTACGAAACTTACGTGAAAAGGAAATAATTTCTGAAAATAAAGATAGGTCCAAGTAAAACTTATAATAAATAAAATATTTGACTCATATTATTAAAATATATATATAACTTACTGTGGTGAGACTATAGTGACATGATATTTGCTTTTATCTAATCCTTTGATAAGGGATACAGCCTATATAGTAAAATTAGAAAAAAATAGATTCCACATATGTATCATTGTTATTATTTTTAATTTTATGATTTAGCACAAAAAGTATTAGAAACTTACACCCCAACCTGAACCAAGAATGACTAATCTTGGTCTTTTTGAGTTAGCTTCATAATCCTTTTCGTCAAAAAGATGTTCTGCAATCACTAATCCTTTTGGACCACCTTTTCTGGTACTAATTTTTATAGTTTTTTCTTCATGCTCTTTCAACCGAGCTTCAAATGTATTATAATCTAATTCTACTAATAATGCAGTAGTAACTATAACAAAAGTTGAAAAAAAAATCACGCGGCGCCAGCGTCTAGGTTTCGCAATAACGTTAGTTGATACGAATCTCGATGAAAAATTGAGGCGATGAATTGGCTTCAATGAATTAAAAAAATTCGATCGATTATTCGAATTTGATAAATTTGATAACTTTTTAGATAATTTTAAAGTACCATGAAAAGATAATAATTTACGATAAGCATGTTCTGCTCTAAAATTATAAACATTTGTAAGTTTGCGAATCATTATCGTTATTGGAGAAAAAAAAAATAAAAAATAAGAAAGTACGATACACAGATCTGACATGTGGGTAGATTTGCTCTACATTTATATGAATTTGGCGTATAACGAAAATATACGTCAGATTTGAATGAAACATTTCTTTTTTAAGCGCAAATTCGAAATACGTAGAAAACTAATAAGATTTTCTGATTTTAATAAATGCTATAATGATTTTTTTTTTTCCTTTTTACATTTAACGTTAAATAATTTTATTTCTACCTCGTATTGGCTTTTTGCAACAATATCTAAATATCTCTGAATGCAAATTTCCAAGTGTAAATAATTTCTCTTTTGGACCTAAACGACGTACATACCGTAATATCGATATAATTACCTCCTTCCAAATATTTTTTTTAAAGAATATATATATATATGTAAGTTTTTAGATATGAACGTAAAGGTATTTCAAACCCTTTCATTTCAAGATATTGCATGGGTCAGTCTATACTAGATATTGCTATATGGCTTCGAAATCAATAACGATAATTATCTTGATTAATACTGTAATAATCAGAGAATCCGTAAATGTGCGTATACGAGACCCGGGTCTATTTCATCCCACCAATTTTTAAACCCTTTAGTGGACCCGGGTCTAGTACACGCTGGGAGGTTATCTCGTAAAGAAAAAAATTTAAAATGCATACACAATTTGTACTTATAATAGATAGTTTTATCTATTCATTTAAAATTAATAGATTCCGTGGTTCGCGACCGGGTTCTAATTCTAATTCATGGTGGGTCTACTATTTTACCACCCACGTGGCCATAAAAATTGATGTATACAGATTACCCGAGAATGAGTAGTTAACATTGTTGCTAATTTTATTTGTTTAAAAAAAAAACTAATACGTAACTGATAAATTGTAAATTACGTACGTACGTACGTCTGTTCGTGCGTAAATCCGCCCGCCCGCACGTCCATTTACTAGTGCTGGCATTTACATAAAATAGACAGTTATAATTACATCATACATCATAATATATAATGAGGTTATGATTTGAGTCACATGCATCATTATAAATTCGAAAATGAAACCTAATGTAATAAAAATGAACCCAATTAGGAATTTTAAATAGTCTAGAGCATAATATAAGTATTATTGGATAGCCTGTTAGTAAAAAACATGAATCCGGTCAAATTTGCCGATATTTACCATTTATCTGTTATTCAGGGCTCCGCAGATCCTACCAATATTATAATTGACACAAAACAATGAAAAAGTTAGCAACTTTTTCATGTACAAATGATAAATAAAAGATTAATAGTAAACCAAGTAACTCATGTACTGTATATCAGATCAAGATAAATTTGGTTAGCGTATTATTGATTTTTGCAAATCTTTATAAATAAGCGGGTTGATCAAGAAATCGCTCCGAAATAACTAAATCGTTCAATTTTTGTTGAGCGGTCTGTGAATTCATAATTTGTTGAAGTGTTATTTTTGCACATTTGCCGACTTTTTTTAATAAAGGTATTGAAATAAAATATTCTATTATTTTATTAATTTATAATTTTTGTTAATTTTTGTTAATTTTTATTATTACTATTTGTTTTTTTGTTTTTTGTCTTTTTTTTTTTTTCTTTTCTTATTTGGGGGGTTTTCAAACATCATGCTCAATTTCACGTAAAAGTTTGGCATTTTTACGCTTATGATTAAACATCGAATATTTATCAAGCATATTACTCTCTACTACATCTTTGGGATAAAATCTTTATTATAATAGTATTGTGTCAACCGGAAACGTGAGTATTGTTCGAATTGATCTTCCATTCTTTGCTCATCGAATTAAGTCAAAATGATCATTATTGTTAGTTTCCATGTTATTAAAAAACAAAAAAAAACCTTTTAAATTTGTTAGGTATTACTTTTTTTTGGTAACTCGGTACTCGGTTGATAATTTCAAGTTATGAATGAACAAGAAAAGTATTTATTAAGGGGGTAATTGTCCAATATATGACATTATAAATTTCTAAATAATTTTTCTTTTAAATAATTAAAGTTCTCATCATTTTTCATCTTATTTAATTTAGAGACGTTCAACTGCAATATGGATGGGGTGCAAAAGTTTTGCCGAATGAAACGTTAACTCAAATATTTAAGGATCTAGATTATCCAATGAATTGTATATATGTGAATCATTCATGGGCCTTCGCAGCGTTACCGTTTTTATGGCAATCCCCATTTACAACTGCTCGTGATCCAATTAAATTGGTAGAAACTTTAATTAAAAGTCTTCCCGCAGATGTGAAAAATTCACTACAGCAAGATGTATCAGCTATTAGACCATGGTTAACTGAGCATACATGTTATAAGTATGCTGAATGGATCAAAGAACTCCAATATGAACAACTTTTGAGTTACGTTATTAGATGGTTCGAAAATCGACGTCGGATAAAATCGGTTTCGAAAAACCCAAATACATGTCATTCATTGGAATTGCGTTCTGAAGGTGGATATTTGTCAAAAGAAACCCGCTTTCAAATACAATCCATCTTCTCTGCCTTGATTTCTTTCCTCATCAGTTCAAGTCGAAGCTTACGCACTTTAGATCTCTCAACAAAATATGGTTATCCTCATCTGTCTACCATGTTGAGTCCAATGCGAACAAATTGTGAATCTTTAATTGCTGTTACTGAATTAACTTGTGATACTTGGGTTCCCGAAAACTTTTATTATACTCTTTCCTTAAGATCCCATAATTTAGAGAGTTTATATATCTATCACCCTCAACGTGATTCTGATGTCATTGATTTAGCTCTCCTTATTAAACACCAAACGGGTGGAATACAACACATAAAACTTTCCGATTCTGGCGCAAAAATAACAATGTTATTAGAAAGTTTTGGCACTCAAGCCACAACTTTATCCACACTCAAACTTCATCGAACTAACCTTACAAGTAAGGGATTAGACGCTCTAGGAAAACTTGTTAATTTAAAATCTTTAGAATTAGATATGTGTAGATTTTTATTGTGTTATCCTTATATAGCCCCTGATCCTTTATGGCCAAAATTAAAAAGATTACATTTATCTGAAACGGAGGATTTTGTTGATGTATCAGCTATTACTGTAATAATAACAAAGGTATTATCGAGTTTGGATGAATTATTGTTGCATCATCATCTTAGGCATAATGATATAATACGAAAGACTGTTATTAATCAATTACCTAATGTAAGACGACATGACATTTCTAATTGGGTTTTTACTAAGGCTAATAAGGCTAATGCTTAAAATTGTATAAATTGACACTAATAAAGCTACTTTTTTTAAAAAAAAAAACTCATGAGTTTATTAAGTTTATTACTACTGCTTACGCAGCCACTGTGTCAGTTGTAAACTCGCCATCGAAAAAAATTTTCGATATATAATAATGCCAATAATAATAATATAAAATATCAACAAAATATTATAGAATTCAGAATGGTGTACGTACAGTACAATAATTGCATTCAAAAGTAAATAAACACAAGATTACTAATATTACTAGGTTTAGATTATACTGTAACTATATAATTAGGGTAGCTGCGCGATGTGATCGCGTTTAACCCAGGAGCGTAGCATAAAGTTTTATAAAAAAATAATAATAATTTATTAACTGCATAATGTTTGTTTCTATTTTTTTCATTTCACCCGAGTGTTGCCAAATAGTTGATCACTACTATATTATACAGTATTAATCAAAATAAATTGCCTTTTTATTTACACGTATTTATAAATTATATACTGTATTTATCATAAAATTGTGTTTAGTAGTACAGACTTTACATTCGCGAGTTGTTTCTTCAACCTGCTTGGGATATAACTGTATCTTAAACTAATTTTTTCCAAGTTTTATAAAAGTTTTCAGCTGGACAAATTTATGTCCCTAAATTGTCTCCAGCCTGCTTAATTAAACGAAGCTCATGATTTATATTTGTATAAAGAATTTTGAAAGCATGAGTATCCAATGTTTAAAATTCGGGTTAATACATTCAACCATTTATCTGTTATCATATCGACTTTTATTCATTAATCAATGTTTATTTTTCCTTTGGCTAACATAGATTTTCAAGATTCGAAATTCATTTATTTAATTTCGATTAAGTTTTTCTTTATTTATATCAAGATGAAATCACGTTATAATTACTGATTTAAAATCACCAAAGTTTATTTTTCAATCGGTAGAAATTGAAAAATAAATTGTCGAATTTTGTGATTGATGATATGCACAGGATGTTCTTTATAAATTTCATTGTATATATTACATTTAATATATGTCTAACCATCATCCAATCATAACCCAGAATTTGCACACTTGCCATTCTAGTTGTATGTTAACCATACAACACACTTCATTCATTCATAATTTACATTACTACACACTCCTAGTACTGTACTATAAAAACAAAATTAATTATAATAGTACCGAAAAAATTTTTACCCTATTAATTACATAAAGGTGCATGATCCAAATGGCATAATAAATTATCCTTGCGCAAAGTTGGAGAAGTTTACAATGTTTTACATTGAAGAATTCGTAATCATAATTCTTTCTATATATATGTTGTACCCCAGATGCGAATTTGCCCAATTGTTAATCGGGATGGCCCAGATTATAATTTGATTTTGGGC